TTACCAAGGGTGATCTTGACCTCTGTCTTTGCAAATCTAAGCATCATTTTCTGCCCTACTTTACTCAGTCCCATAGTAGCTTTTGACATGGTGAACCACTCCCTTCTTTGGTTATCGTTATTTAAAATTATTATGAAGTCTTTCAGACATAAGTACAAAGAAATATAATAATGAACAATTGTATTTGCCCTCTAGCTTAAAGAATAAAAATTTTTAATTCAACTGGATCCCCATGTATTTCTTCCTAGTTGTATTCCCTCCCGTGCTCCTATATGTAGCCAGTATACTGCACTGGTATTTATTGTTACCACACATTTTGGGGGGGAGTACTTTTGCTATATGTGAATTTGCCTATGTAATATGTAGTTTTTTTATGTTTTAAAAATATATATTAAAGATTATGCTTACATATTCTTTTTTGTAGTTTGTTCTTTTTGTTCAATATTTTATTATGGTAACCATTCATGTTGCCAAACATGGCCCTGAAATGTTTATTTTCACTACTGTATGGTGTTCCCTTATATGAATGGACTATAATTTATCTATTATCCTATAGGTGGACACTTACATTGTTTCTACTTTTTTGTTGATACAAACAAGCCTTCTGGAAGCATTCTTACAGATTTCTCTTCATATATATGTTTCTGTTTGGTGTAACCTAGAAGTAGAGTTTCTGGGTCACGGTGTATTTAAGACTCTTCTTTTGAGCCGCCTTGTTCTAGGCTTCCACGATACCATGCTTGCCTGGTTTTCATCTGACTTTATAGGCCAGACCGTCTCAATCTTATTTTTTGGATCCCCTGAGAGTTTTGTCCTTTACTGTCTGTCTCCTTTCTGCCTAATCTTATCTAGTTCCATGGTTTTGAATACCACATACATACTGATAACTCCTCAGATTCTAGCTCTAACTTGGGCATCACACCTGAACTCCACCCTGAATTCTCTTTGAATGTCTGACAGGGATCTCAGACTTAATATGGTTAAACTGGCCTCAGGGCCCAGCTCTTTCCTCTTTCTTCACATTACACGGCAAGAGCCTTCTCATGCTTCAGCTTTTAGAGCACGTCTGTCCTCAGAGGAATCTTATCAGCCCACTCCACCCTTTCCCTGCCCATTATCTAGTATGTAGGTCTGTTTTATTTCCTAGAGAGTAGTTATCACTCATTCACATTATCATATATAAATATGTATTTTTTTTTCTGTTTTTATCCACTGGAAATGTGTCTTGAGAGCAGGGACTTTGCCTTTGTTCACCTTTTTGTATCTGTTTCTTAGAGTGATGTCTAGCACTTATGAGGTAGTCAGTAACTATGGGTCCAAATTCCCACCTGTTTTTAGAAGACTCCTTAAATTTTCTTAGCCTTGACTTCCTTAGTGCTAATTCACATGTTGTGCTGTCTTCTCAGACTTATCAGGAAGTCTGGCAGTAGTCTCAATCTCAACATGTTGACCCTGTTTTCTTCCCTAAAGCCTTCTTTTCCTTTCCTTCCCTTCCTTCCTTTTAAAAAATTTTGATAAAACAGTATCCTCATCTACCCTGTGGTATACCTCCCTTTTGCCCTCATGTTCAGTTTGTTACTACTTGCTTTTACCTTCAGAGTTTTTGTGTCTTTCTCCCTTATTCTAGTCATTATACTGCTCCAGGCCCTAAAAAAGCTCTTAACTGTCTCTACTTAGTCTAGCTAATCTTTTTTGGTTCTGTGGCTTCAAACTTCATCTAAATGCTGATAAGTCCTTGAGATTCTCTCTCTAATTTCACTACAGTCTTGAGCTCCAGTTAGGTTCTAGGCTTCCATGATAAGATTGTCTGATTTTCTTCTTACTGTGTAGGCAGGGCATTCTCAATCTTATTTTCTGGATCTTCGTTCCCTAACATATTCTGTAGTGTAGTGTCCCTTTATTCTTATCTTCTCTTCTGTACCTTCCCGGCTTCCATCTTTGGTCTGCCCTAATATATCCTCCATGCTGATCTTAGGCTGGCCTTTATAAAATACAATCAAGTTTTGTCACTGCTTTGCTTAAAGTCTTTCAGAGCTTCCCTGATAACTCAAAAGTCCAAGTTCTATATAATGAGCAAAACCATTAAGGATGTGCCCTCCTATGTATCTCAGCCCCTACCTTTTCTCCAAAGGATCCTGAAGACCATCATTCCTCTCTGTGGTGCCTCATCATAGAAGACTAGGCTTTTGCTTATACTCTTTCCTTGGTGCACAGTTTTCTTTTCCCCTCTTTCCTTACCTCCCCAGTAAACTTTTGCTCATCTAAAAAGACTCAATGTGTTCCATTTTTAGGTAAGCCTTCCCTGACACATTCAGGCAGGAGTAAGAAATTTTTTCTCTGTGTCCTTCCTAGCAGTTTATTATCTCTGTTATAATACTTATTTCAGCTATTTATATGCTAGAAACCATTCTTGGCACTGGGGATAGAACAGTAAACAAGATGGACAAGGTCCTTATTTTAAAGGAATATATATTCTAGAGCGGAGGGAAAAAAACAAACAAACAAGTAAAGTAAATGAACAGTATTATTTTAGTTAGTAGTAAGTGGTACTAAGGTAAATAAAACCAGACAATGTGTGTTAGGGGAGAGGAGAAGGGTGTGACACTCGAGAGTGAATGAGGTGATGTTTGAGTTGAGACTTGAAAGGTGCGGAGCCAGCCATGCCGAGATCTGAGGAGGTGTATTCAGGCAGAAGGAACAATACATACAAAGGCCCTGGAGCTGGAATGAGGTTGGCATGTTTAAGGAACAAGCAGGCCAGTGAGATAGGAGCATAATGAGCAGAGTAAAGGAGCTGCCTGACATAAGATCCGAGAGATAGGCAGGGCTGATCTCAGAGGGCCTTATAGGTAAGATATATGCATTTGAAGTATAGTAGGAAGCCCCTAGAAGATATTAAATGAGGGAGTGAAGTGAACTGACTCATGTCTAGAATTATCACTCTTGCTGACAATGAGAAGAATTATGGGGGACAAGACTGAGTGGGGACCAGTTAGACATTGTTACCTACTGCATTGAAAAATGTTGGTAGTTGGGAATACTGTGGTATTTGTAGTGTTTATGGAGAGAGGTGGATGACGGATGTCTTTTGAATGGCAAGATTTGTTGATGGATCGGACGTGTTGGGTTAAGAGAAGGATGGGATCTAGAAAAGCACCCCTTGCCTTTCTTGGGTAATGTGGACAGCAGTGCCATGTACCTACTATCAATGACTCCTGGTGGTGATGATGAGAATGTTTTGTCAGGGAGGAAATGAAAGTTACTTTAAGTTGGAGATTCCTGTTAAGACTTTGAAGCATGGATGGCAAGGAAGCAGTTGGATATATGGTTCTGAAGGTCAGAGATGGAGGTAGACAGTTTTGGGAGTCACCAACTTACTCATTGCATTTTAAAGCTATGGAAGTGGGTAAAACAACCTAGAGCCACAGCAAGGTTGAGAGAGAGGAGGGCTGAGAGAGGAGGGCCAAGAGTGGGGCCATGAGCACTGTAGATCATAGCACTCTGAAAGAGGAGGGAAGGTGAGGAGGGAAGAGGGAGTGCAGATGACCGCAGGAGTGTTTCCAGGAGGGAGGATCAACTGTGTCGTGCTGCTTAGAATTCCAGTGAGATGAAGGCACAGATGTGGCCACTGGATTTCACTCTTTAGGGCATTCAAGTGGGCAGAAGATGGAACTTTGTTCATTACTTTAATTAATTGCTTATGTATCTGTCTCCTGCTCTAGACTATGTGCTAGGCCGTAGTTTATTTCTAGAGCTTAACATATAGTTGATGGTGAATAAATGTTTGCCTGCAGGTTTGAATTTTATCATGCAGTTTGAAAGAACTGAGTTTGCTATAAGTTTGTGTCAGTTCAAGGAATAAAATTGTGTGAATAATAGCTCAAACGAAACAGGAGAAGAAAGGCAAATCCCTTATAATAGAGGTTCACAGTACATCCTTAAGCCATCATGCAGTAGTGACAAGGGACCATTCTTTGAATTCAGAAAGCTGCCTCAAGTGTTGTCTCCACTGCTTGGCCCTTCTGAAGGGGTCTGGAGACAAGTCCCCCACACTCTCTGGATTGCACTTTCTTGGCTGTCATGTATGGATAATATTGAAAATTCCTCTTACAGGATTTTTGTGAGCAGCACATGAACTAATGCACATGAGCGTCCTTTGTAAGTAAAAAGATACTCCGTAAGTGCTATTTTTGTAACAATAATTGGATTATCAATTTCATTACTGACTTATAAAGTAGATTGAATCAAAGTGTCATGAAATTCATATTTAAGCGGTGGCATACGAATGGCAACAAGTTGGATGAGGACACAGACCAGTGGAAAATGTGGTACTTTTCCAGAAACATATAGGAAATTAATTTTTTTTGGCTTTGTTCTCTTATCTTTCCCAGATAAATTTTGTTATTCTGTTAGAGCTGAAGTGTAGACTCTTACTTCAAGATCTAATAATCAAATCTAGCTAGCGGTCTGTTTACCCTAGTGTTGTAGAGATACAAAGGAATAAATGTAGTTAGTATTGCTTGTGGGTTTTCTTTTTTTGAAGTAACTACATTGATTATCCCAATTTGGCACCCTTTCTTCATGGTGATTACAGTAGTCTTTTCTTGCCCACAGAAGATACTAGGACCCCCACTGGAATGCCTAAAACTTTGATCGTACCTGACTCTGCATATGCTGTGTTTTTTCCTATTCATCTATACCTGTGCTAAAAATAAATTTCCAAAGTAGACATGGTAAGAGATTAACAACAATAACAACTAATGAAATAGCTCCATTTTATTATATTTTATATTAATTACATTTTATTTTATAAATATAAAAATATATAAAAATATAAAAATATAAAAATATAGTGTGTGAAAGTTATGTGAATGTGATTTCCCTCTCTGAAAAGATCTGACTGTTTTCGGACCACAGTGGACCGATGGCTAACTGAAGCTGCGGAAGGCAAAACCGCAGATCAGGGAGAACTGTTGTGTTCATTTTGTTTTTACTTCCAGGGTAAAAACCATGGTAAGAAACTCCGAAATTACTATGCAGCAAATAGCTGTCCTCCTCCTGCTGGCATGAGCAATGCGGTGGAGCCTGCGGCTGCTCCCGTGGTGCCAGCCCCTCCGCAGGTGAGACCGGCGTGTCAGTCTGAAGCTGCGTTGGGTGGAAGCTGGTGGTTGCACAAATGGTCCAGAAGGAAGCTTGTGGTCAACATGTCTATCAGGGCACAGCTGAGCTAATAATCCTGAAAGGTGCCTCTTGGTGCTTTCCACTCCTTGAACTGGAGTGCTGGGTTTAACACATGCCAAAATCTATGAACTTGGAGACTTCTCATTGGTTCTGCTTGTAATGCATAAAATGGTTAAATGAATATTGTTCTATGTCTTGCTCTATGCATTTCTCAAAATCCTGGGTTAAATGACCCTGAATGTCTAGGCTCACCCCTGAATGGAAAAGAGAGATTTTTACACATTTTTTTCTTTATTGCAGTTAATCTCATTTACTTGAGATTGGGTCTTCCAGTTGTAAAATTAGTTTTTGAGTTTGTCCTGCATTACCCCTCTGCAGAGAGCCTGTATAAACACTTTTTGGACTTTGCTATTATGAGACATACCTGAGAGCCAAGTTCTCTTTGCCCTTTGGAAGATAGAGCTGGTGATTTAGGCAGGTTATTCCTAATAGCCTCTGAGATATGGATTGTGCTCTTTAATCTGCCTTTGAGGTGTTATTTGTCCATAAACAATACGATGGTCATAAATAATAATACCTTTAATTGAGGACTTGATATGCCAGACACTGTGCTGAGCATTTTTCATACGTTGTTTCACTTGGGGCTGGGACCAGGGTGAGGTGAGGAATGCACTTGACTTGGGGGAGCCCAAAAACTTAGTAGTCAAGATAAATATTTTAAAAAGCAATTTTAAAAATTTATTTTTAGTAAAACAACAACAACAACAAACCCCCTTTTTTTTTGAGTTGGGATCTCATTCTGTCATCCAGGCAGAAGTACAGTGGCACGATCACAGTTCACCACGGCCTCAAACTCCTGGGCTCAAGCGATCCTTCCACCTCAGCCTCTCAGGTGGCTGGGACTATGGGTGAGCGCCACCAACATCCAGCTAATTTTTTCTATTTTTGAGGAGATAAGGTTTTGCTATGTTGCCCAGGCTGATGTCGAACTCCTGGCCACAAGCAATCTTTTCACCTTGGCCTCCCAAAGTGCTGGGATTACACGTGCGAGTCACTGTGGCTGGCCAAGATAAATATTTAATGCCATATTTTAGAATTCAAGATTAATATACAAAAATCGGTGAACAAAACATCAAAAACTTAAAGTTAGGATAAATATTACTGATTTTCCTTTTGCCTCAGGCTGCAGTATTGGCTTGGCAGGGCACTGTTACTTACTTTGTATTTAACATTTTGGCATTTTGTTTGCATTAATTTAAAAAAATATTTCACTAAAACATTATTTATCTTGATTATCTTATTTATCTTGATGTCCCCTTAAATTCTGAGCCCAAGGTAAGTGTCTCACTTCATTCTAGTCCCAGGTCCTGCCTTCACTTAATTCTTGCAACAATTTAGAGGTATTGGCATTATCACTCAAACTATACCCCATGGGCTAGCAGTATCAGCCTCATGGGACCTTTATTAGAAGTTCAGATACGCGAAATAACTTATCAGTGTTACACATTTGGTAAAGTGGTGGAGCAAGGAGCAAGAATTTCTTTTCTCTTTTTTTTTTGAGTTGGAGTTTTACTTTGCCATCCAGGCTGGAATGCATGATCACAACTCACCGCAGCCTCAACCTCCTGGGCTCAGGCGATCCTTCCACCTCAGCCTCTGAGTAGCTGGGACTACAGGCATTCACCACCATGCCCAGCTAACTTTTTAATTTTTTTTGTAGCGACATGGTCTTACTATGTTTTCCAGGCTGGCCTTGAACTTCTGGCCCCAAAGTATTTTCCCGTCATGCTGGATTACAGGCATGAGCCACTGCGCCTGGCCAGTCATTTCTTTTGATCCGGAACCTTTGCTTCTAACCATTTTGTATAATTTCACTTTTCTGAGTGTCAGTTTTTTAGTGCTGAAGGTGTGGGTAGCAATTCCAGCTTTTGCTTTCTCATGGATTTTGTGAGGAAAATAAGATGTGTTAAAAACAGAATTAGAGAACAGGACGATACCCAGAGAGACCTTCAAGCTGAGTTTTCGTATTACGAGATCCTGAAGCCTGCTCTAGAATGGAATGACTGCTTCTGCTGGGGACGCTTCAACTGGCTCCACCCTCCTGGGCAGGCAGCCTGAGCCTTCTTCAGAGCATTACTCTTAGGGAGTTTTGAAGACTGCTATGCTGTCCCTAGAAAAATTTTCTATTCTGGGTGAAACAATGCTGTTTTCTTCAACTGTTCCTGATAGATATGGTTTCCAGAACGTTTACCATGTAGCATATTCTTCTCTGGCCAAAATCTAGTGTACCATTTTTTGTTAGCCCAACATTTATTGAGTGCCTATCTTTTGAGCACTGTGCTAGTTCTCCCTTGGCAGCTTGTTCCTCAGCCTGAATACAGTTGTCTGGATCTGCTACATCTTTTCCCTTGATTATATCATATCAATAGCCAGCTTATAGGTTCTTGGAGCACAGGGGCTCTTTAAAAAATATATAACTGTATATCCCTTCTGGACTAGGCAGCAAGCCCAATAAATAGCATTCAGTAAAGCTTATGGATTCTGAGCAGACTGTCCTCTTTCTGGTAATGTGATTTTAGACCTTCCCTGTTTATTTACCCATTATTTACTGCTCCACATCTTCCATGCTGAAGTTTTAAAACTCATTTGAAAGATTTCTTGGATGGAGACAGCAGTGAACAATAATGTAGGGAAGATATTTCTGTACCTACATCAAGATATGGATTCTACTCCTTAATCTGCCTTCAGGGTGTTGTTTGTCCATAAAACAATACAGTGGTCACAAGTCATAATACCTATAATTTAACTGAGTACTTGATACACGAGGCACTAATTTGGTACATATAATACAAAACCATGCTTCAATATTTCCCCCTAGCCTTTTCCCCCCCCCTGAAGTGGATTATTGTCTTTATGAAGCAGAGTGCTTGTGGTCATGCCATATCCTTTGGTTATTTTTCAGCTTTTAGAAGGACGTTTGGGGAGAAGAAGGGAGTAAGCTCCGTGTTTGTTAACCTTGTCTCTTCTTGTGTCTTGGATGTCAGATGGGCTCCTTTAAGCCAGGAGGCAGAGTGATCCTGGCCACAGAGAATGATTACTGTAAGCTCTGTGACGCCTCCTTCAGCTCTCCGGCTGTGGCTCAGGCTCACTATCAAGGGAAGAATCATGCCAAGAGGCTGCGGCTGGCGGAAGCTCAGAGTAACTCTTTCTCGTAGGTATTGCCGTTTTCTCTGAGGCCGGAGTTATATGACACTGACTGTGTTTAAAGAAAATATTGAAAGGGATTGTTGTTTAGAAGTCTCACTCTTAACATTTATTTTCTCCAGGGAATCCTCAGAAGTGGGTCAACGGCGGGCCCGGAAGGAAGGGAATGAATTTAAGATGATGCCTAATAGGAGAAATATGTACACAGTACAGAATAATTCAGGTATCCTGTGTATTTCCACATATCTTGGCTCCTTTCTGCAAATGGGCTCCTTTATTTTTATTTCTTTTAATGGTAATAGATAGCCCTGAGAATTTGGGATTAGTCATTGTTTTGTTGAATTGGTCTAATGGCTTTTCAGGCTACTGTTTATTTCAGGTCTTATTTATTTACCTCCTATTTGGTATACTGTTTATTTTGGTTTTAAACCACAGTCTATGTTTTAGAGTCTTTTACCAAAGTCGTTTTATGTTTCCTTTGGTATTTGTCAGCTGAGAAATGTAAATTGCATGATAAAAATGGACTACTGGTTTAAAGTTGCAATGTGTTCAATTCCCACTTCTTGGGGAATATAAAAAAGATGATAGCAGTGATTTTTAATCAGGGTAGTGAATCAGAATTGCCCAGGGAGTTTTTACAAAATGTCTGAACTGTCACTTCAAGTTTTTTCAATCAGGAAATTTGGAGTAGCACCCAGACAAGTGTGTGCTTCGAAAATGCATCCTTGGTGATTCTGAAGTGCACATTCCGTTCAAACCGCTAGTTTGTAAGAATGCAGTTTGTATTTTCTGATTGTCTTTAGTGGGGAAAGGAGGACTGCAGAGTCCCCCGTCCTCCCATTTACCTCCGCCTCTGATACATACACACGTCGCAAAGGTTGTTAACGTGAAAGTAATACAAACAAAAAGCAGAGTTAACTGAAAAGCAGGGGAAGCCAAGTGAAAGAGGGCCATATAGAAAGCATGATGCAGTATGATTAATAGAAGTTTACACATATGTTAGTAATTATAATAAATAGAAATTTGCCGACGTCCTAGTTAAAAGACAAAGGTGATCAGATTGTATACAAGAGATCTAGGAATGAAAGAAGTTGGCATAGCTGCATTAATATTCGAAAAATAAATTTTAGGGCTGGACACAGTAGCTTCCACCTGTAATCCCAGCAGTTTGGGAGGCCAAGGTGGGAGGATTGCTTGAGACCAGGGGTTCAAGACCTCCTGGGTAACATAGCAAGACCTTGTCTTTACAAAATAATAATAATAATAATTTTTTAAAAAGAAAAATAAATTTTAGGACCAAGGTAATATAGATTGTGTTCTCTGACCAAAGTCTAATTAAATGAGATGCTAATTACAGAAACATAAAGGCAAACAAAATTTCCATTTGGGAATTTTAGCACACTTCTAAACCACTCATGGTTCAAAGAAGAAATTATAGTGTATATTTAAAATTCTTGTAATTAAACGGTAATGAAAATATATTAAAACTTGTAAGATGCAATGAAAGCAATATTTTGATAAAAGCATTAAATATTTATTATTATAGTAGAAAAGAAAAGATGAGAATTAATGAATTAAGGTCCAACTTAAGTCAATAATGTAAAAAGAAGAAAATAAAATTGTCATTAATTATTGTAGACATCATTCCAATCTCTTCATATATACTACTTCTTTAAAATAGAAATGAGATCCTATTTTGTGATATTCTTGGTTTACTTAGTAGAATATTATGAGTTTCCTATGGCATTATATTTAGTGACTTCATAATTTTCTATTGCATTCATGACCATAGTTTGACAAATCCTATTTTAGAATCTTCCTTTTCCCTTCCCCATGCTGGTATGTTTCTGTGCAAAAATTCTTAATATTTTCTTAGGATAATTTTTAGAAGTAAGATTTTTGGATTAAAGTATCAGCATAATTGTAAGACTTCTGATATAATGCTTGGAAATTAAAGTATTTTTAAGATGGTATTTTTTTTTCCTAGAGACATAGCCATTTAGAGTTTGGATTTGTCTCTACAGCAATTTTCTTGACTATATTTGAGGGAATCACTTTATATCTTTATATCAAATCTGTATAAAATTGTAATTTTAAAAATCCATTGATTTCACGTTCATTCAAAGCTAAGAATCTGTGAATTTTATAATTTGAACTCTGAGTTACAAATTATAGTGATAATTAGTCAGACTGTCAGTCACTTAGTGAATATCTTGAATAGATTACCTTTATCTCTTGCTTTACCAGGTCCTTACTTCAATCCGCGCTCTCGACAGAGAATTCCACGTGATCTAGCCATGTGCGTCACTCCAAGCGGCCAGTTTTACTGCTCAATGTGTAATGTTGGGGCTGGCGAAGAGGTGGAGTTCCGCCAGCATTTAGAGAGCAAGCAGCATAAAAGCAAGGTGTCTGAACAGCGGTACAGGAACGAGATGGAGAATCTGGGATATGTATAGTGATTGTTGTATTGAGATAGAGCAGCTTGTCCTGCCTGTTGTTTGCCTTCTGTCAACTTGCCCTGCTTTGTGGTCCTTTTGATATGAGTACATTCCTCTGCTTAATGTTAATTCATGTAACCTGCAGTGGTACCATAAGATGTCAAAACTTGGCGGGGGGGTAGCGTGGAGAAAGTGCTTCTTAGGTCGCCTTGCTCTTTCAGGCCAGTTGTGTTGAGCGACTTATAGCATGTGACCTACCTACCCCATCAGAAGTAACTCTTTATCTTGACCAAGTTCTGGTCAACTAGTAGCCTGACTACTTAGAGCGATGACTATTTGAAAATTTCATCTTCTTTTGTAATTTTAGTTTTATATACTGTTTAATAAGGAATTATATTGAGTTCTTACTTCAGATTGCAGTAAAAATAGGTAAGCAGAGATTTCAGTTTCCCAAGACTTCGCTGAAACCACCACCTCAAAGCATGGTGTGTCATAAAATGTCTTTCCCAGGACATTTTTCCCCTGTATTACATTCCCCCTCATCATTAAAATGCATTGAACTCAAACACTCCCAGTGTACTTGTGCACTTCCAAACAGCTAAACTTGATTTCCAATTGTAGGTTTCACATATTTAACTGCCATCTTCTCCTCTTCCCTTCTCTTCTCTTCTCTCTCTCTCTTTTTGTAGTTGAGGTAGCTTGTCTAACAAGCTCATTTTCATGCTCCAGCTGTGCTGTGGGATTTCCAAGCCTAACATTTAATATTCCATTAGTTTAAGATAGGTATAATTAAAAATTTTTTTTCATTCTGATCTTTAGGAAGCATAAAGACTTATTTGATTTTTCAACTTAGAATACTTCTTCACTGATAGCAACATGCACTTATATGATGGTCTTAACCATAAATTCAGATCACTTGATATTTTGTTCTGGCAGACTTTTTGGATAATCTGATTCTTACACTTTACTTACATTCTTTTCTGTTCCGCCAGTTTGTTGACTGTACTGAAAAATATCACTACCTGCTGTTTTAAACATAGTGGAAATTTTAAAAAAAGCAAATCAAGTTTCAGTGTCATTGTTTCTAGTAGAAAAACACATGAACTATGGTTTTATTCTTTGTAATTCACCTTTCTTAAAGATACTAAAATATAGATGACTTTGGTATGTGATAATTATGATAGTATTTTTATTTTTGGTTTTTGTTTTTAAAATAAGATGCTATAGTGTATGTCTAAATTAACTAATGGAGTACTCTGAATGTCCATTAGCTACATTTTATTGACTTACTATATTTCACTTTACATGGATAAGACTGGTGGTCGTCCATACTTCTTTTGAAAGGCCTCATTCACCAGGAAGTTCATATTAAGTAGTATCTTTGCACTATGGTTAATTCATACTTGATTGTTTATTACTAATTAGAGGTAAAATTCTTGTTTTTTTTCTTGAGAATTCTGTGGGCAAATAAATGGGGAGAAGGCCAATTATAATAATCACTTCTTTTCTGTAATACTTTGGAACAATGTTTAAAGAAACCTAGATCCATCTTTAAAAATCAGTTTTGTGTGATTAACCTTTTGTACAAGTTACTGTCTTCTATTGAAGTGGTGGTTTTTTGAAAAGTAGAAAAATTTGGTAACTTTTTTCTTTCAGAAACAGAAGAATGAAATAATATTCTGTTGAGATTCTGTCTAGTCCTGTGACTCTTGATATAATAACCCTTTTTTGTAGTAATCTATAAAGTATAGCTGATTAGTTTAGTGTCATTTAGGACTTTTCTCATTGGCCGGTAAATTGCTCATTTTGCTGCTAAGTATATTTTTTTGGTCAATTTTAATATTATAATACTGGCCACTTGGTTCTACGATTACTTAAAAATCTCATGTTCTTCCTCTGGAGCCATGTGTATGCACACCCCTCCCCCATGTGTGTAATCCCATAGAGAGGGTCTTTTCGAACCCTTATTACAAGTAACAGTAGAAGATATGAATATGAATTTACATTTTATAAAAGTGACTTTCATCCACTCTCAGTTTCCCTTTGGAAAGAATTCAAAGGAGGATTTCCCCCACTCTTCCCCCTAAGCAATTTCATTATAAACATACAAAAAGCAGTGGATTTAGGGCTTGATGTTTTTCAGGCCTTGTGTATTCAGGTTTCCAGTTTCCCAGTGCCCTTAATGGATGTTATGAATGCATAAGCGCATTTCCTTTTAAAGAAAGAAATTAGATTTATAGTGTTATTTTTTACTTGCTCTATTTCTTTGCACTAAAAACAGAGCTATGTGTTTGTTTTATATGACACTTTAGTACCATATTGCCTACAATAACTCAATTTGCTCCTTAATTTCCAAACTCTAGGAAGTTGATAAATCACTTCCACGGTCATTTATAGAGGTTACATGCACATCCCCAAAAAACTCAGACCTCTGTGACAATAGGTTGTTTTGGGTTTGTTACCTTGCAGTGTTCTCCTGTGTTCCATAGGTGAAACAAAGGCTGACAGAGGGTATCAGGCAAGAAATGCCTAAAGAGATGCATCTCTGCGTGGTATAGTTTCTCACATTCACATATTTTATATAGAGAGTGATTTTCCCTGAATAAGCAGGCTGCTGTTTCTTCTGAGTCACTGATATGTGATCTCTGTTGGTTTCATTTTGTGAAATCCAGTCTTGCTCTGTAATGTACTTTAGGATTTGCAACCTGTGCTCCTGAGGAATCATGTTAGTGTCTTTTTATATGCTGTATTCAAGGATGGAAAACCTTTAGTAAAAAAAATTAAGTAGCTTTCAGTAATCATCCACAAGAACCCAGAACATCAAAGTCTCTTTTCTCTGTGAATATATTTGTGTCAGCTGTCATTAAAAAAAAAAAAATCAGTGTTAGAAGATGACAATTAGAAACTCTTCTTCGGTGTTAAGAGCAAGAAATTGGAAAGGAAAAATGCCATGCTTCAATTAACAGATTGGATTGCATATGCCTTTAAGGTGGTTTTTTAAAAGAAAAGTTTAGTTACCTTCTGATTATTTTGTGCCCTGTAATCCTTTTGACTCCATACTGAAAATACGATGACTTTGTACATCATGTCCTGCAACTTGTAAATATGTGCATGTTGTTTATTATGTCTGTCTGCTTGTCCCTTATTGCACTGAATTCTGCAAGGTGAATAATTTTTTTTACACCATTTATTTTGACAAAGTTCCTCAACCAACTCTTCCTCCCTATTTCCCCTTGAATGAGTTGGTAAACTTAGAAAACCCTTTAGGATTTTGAAGCCCCGAGGTCAAAAAGAAGAATCATGGCTATCTGATATCATCCTTATGTCTCTCCGACTTACAAGGCTGGCAAGAAGCACGAAATCTCTTCCTCTGTAGCTGTTCTACAAAACGATGTGCTTGCTTGTAGCTACTTACCCACAGTTTGAACAAGGAGAATAGGAGTACCATATTGCTGACTAACTCAATTTGCTCTTTAATTTCCAAACTGTAGGATGCTGATAAATAACTTCTATGGTCATTCGTAGAGGTTACATGCACTTTCGAAAAATATCACAGATCTCTGACAGCAAGTTGTGTTTTGGGCTTTTTTTCTTGCAGTATTCTCCTGGGGTGTATGGAAGCAAAGATAAATCCATATCAGTGACATCTTCCTTCACTCCTGAGCTGGGTGGGACAGCAAGCAACGACAGTTTGAGGACTGTCCAGTACCTGTGTAGAAAGAGTCTTGTCTGTGTCACGGAAGACATGTAACAATTCGACAATATTCTCTACAGCAGGCCTAGGAAGGTTTTGAAACCTAACTTATTTTCTTTCTTCATTGCTAGAACTTAGGCTGGAGGTACTCTCTGAAGAACTTGGTGAGACATGCACTAAAGACAATGAACTCTTTAGAATTGAAAAATGTTCTGACAGGATAGGTAAAACTTTAACATGAGTTTTTGAACAGATGTTTAAAAAAACTCCACCGTACCAACTATTTTTTTCTTATCAGCTAAATCATTATTCAGGCTTTTTATATATAATAATAAAAAGTGTTCTTTTTTTGTTTTTGTTTAGTTTTATTTTTGGCAAGGGTTTTGGGGGACCCTACCATCGTGAGTTATGACTGTCAATCTAGCTGAATCGGCAAATAGCTGTGTAAATAGCTTCTCATAGACATTTCTACTGTTATAATAGCTGTTTGACTTTTTCTTCCCATTATGAATGGGAGGAACATTTGTAAACTCCCTTTCTGGGTAGCTACCAAAAAAAAGTAGTGGCTTGTGGTCCCATGTGACCCTGTCTCCGTTAAGCCCAGAATGAGTGCCTTTAGTAAGTGTTAGCATTTCAAGGAGAGAAGAGATGACAGAATTATTGCCATTAATCACTGTTCCTAAATAGAAGCTTAGAATAACAAAGGTCTGTAGTGATTTGTTTTATATCTTTTTTTTTCTTGATGCAATCTCGATTGGATGTCAAGTAAAACTATCATCCTTATTGATTAGGAACCATATATATACCTTGAAGATGAATCCAGTTGTCCCAGGCTGGAAACAGCCACAGATCATTTTCCACCGTGATCTCTGTTACGTTTATACTTAGTGAATGAATGGTAGTGGGTAGATTGGGAAAATTTGACATTACTGTTTGGGAAATTTTTTTATTCCAGTGGTCTTTTTCAAACTTGTTTTTTCAGTAAAGAGGGGTGAATTATGTATTTGCAAATAAAGTATATGAAGAGACTCTTGGCACAATAATGACTAATTGTGTTAGTTTGTCTTAGTTAAGAGAAGCATCTTCACAAATCAGGTTTGATACCTTTTCAAGCAAAATTTTTCCTAGTTCAATTAGTTTAAAGTTCTAAATTGCTTAAGTACTTAGAATCTTTGAAATACACTGCTAAATTAATTTTATTATAGAAATATTAACATTTACCTCAACAGTTTGTTTGTTTGAGTCGGAGTCTCATTCTGTTTCTGTTGCCAGGTTGGAATGCAGTGGCATGCTCACAGCCACCGTAGCTTCGACCTGCTTCCACCTCCGCCTTCCAAGTAGCTGGAACTACAGGTGTGAGCCACTGTGCCCGTGCCTCAACATTTTATTATGAACAATTTCAGACACGTATCCAAGTTGAAAAGATTCCACAATGTATACACCACTAGATATGCCCATCAACATTTCACTACACCTGTATTGCCATACACCTCTTTATCTCTCCATCCCTCTGTTCTTCTTTTAATCCATTAACTTAAAAAATAAATACATAAATTTCAATATAAATTTCAGACAATACACCTCCCTAAACTCTTAGTGCAGGTGTCATTAACTAGGGTTTAATGTTTTTTAAAATACACCTTTTTGGAAACAGAGTATGAAGTTATTAACTGGAGCCAATTGAATTTCTGGTCTTGTTTCTGTTTCTGTTCTTTCTAGTTTCTGTTCTTGTCTGTGCTTTGAGTAAGGGAAGACACCTCCTTTTCAAATTGAAGTCTGTTGTAGTGTTGGTCATTTAAAATGCTTGACTGTCATACATTTCAAAGCTTCATGACCGTTTTTTTCTTTCCCCCTCTTCTGATCATGTACTTTTGCCGAACTATGCAGCTTCTTCAAAAGACTGTAAATGACCAGTTGGGTTTAGGAAGTCAGCTGATACCTCACTTCACCTGCTGCTGCTGTTCTCTCTGCTTCCACCTCTCCTTTCTCTGCTTTCAGCTGCTCTACTAGGAAGTGGAGAGAGCAGGGGGTCAGACCCACACCTCTTCCGCTGTGTTAAACACCTCTGGGAGAACAGATGAATTCACTTAGGAAGTTGAGGCTATTTAAAGAATTTGAATTCCCTGAACATTGTAACTTACCCGTGCTTCCTTCAGCTATAGTTAGCAGAATTAAAAATGATTGTACTGTACAACGAGTTGTTGAAATTGTGAGCCTTAGAAGCCATCTTAAGCTTTACTCTAGTCATGTTTAGAAGTTTTGAGGGGCATATGCCTTTATTTTTATGCCTACTTTCTGTGGATACAACTTGAAGAATTTAAATGGATTGCTCCAGGTCATGAAGATTCAATGGATAAAATTGAATCAGAATCAAAATTTAAGTGTTCCATGTTCATATTTTTGTGCTTGTTTGGTAAAATTCATCACTTCCAAAATAACTGAACACTTGTTTGGGCCATTGAAAGGAAAAATATGTATTTTTACTAATTAGACTTTTATGTTGAGACGTTTTGCTATTCTTGAAACTTAAAGGTATCGTGGTCATAGTTCTAAATTAAGCCCAATGCAATTGCTGAAAATCTTGCTGCATTGTTGAATACTAACTTGTTATGCAGGGTTTATCAGATTTTTTTGCATTTAAGTGATCTTCACAATTCACTCGTAACTATTTCTATGTAAGTGCTTCAGTGACCCTGTCACTAGTGCAAATAAATGTTCTGTATCACTGGTTATATGTGTATTCTCTACATGTTATTTTTTTTAAGGAAAAGTAACTGTGTGTCAGAATGAGTGATATCCTAGGGCAAATTTCATGTAAAGCAGTTTCTTTCTACTCTGCAAATCTGGTATTTACAGTAACAAAACTCTTTTGGAGTGGCTGGTCGTTGTTTTGCCTTCTTTTTAGTACCTTTCTGTGGTTTTGTAAATCAGTGTGCCATTTGTAAGGATTTCCTGGTGACTCTGTTAATTGGTGTTCATCTTGTGGTATCCTCAGCTGACCATAATGATCTCGTTTGGGTATGTTGTGTCTGCTTTGAAATGCCTTACTAGAGTACTTCAGATCCTGCTTTAAAGCATTCCACGTATCTGCTTAGGACATTAAGTTGCCTCTTTTAGATACGTGATCTAGAAGTAAAACTGATTTTGCTTTCACCCTTAAGATTGCATTTTAATGCAGTTATTGTTTAGAGTATAAAATCATGGAAAAACACGGGAAACTTCAGAACCCTTCATTTAATGGCATGGCAAACTTTTAAAACTGCTTTTGCTATTTCACTAGAACCGTATCTTTGGTAAAGGAGCCAGTACAAAATTGCCAGCCCAAACTGTGTGCACTTAAGGTTGTTTCCTAAAATGTTCTCTAAATGTCATGGGGGTTTCAGATCTGTGTATGCTCTTGGGGCAAGGTGCCAGTCATTGCTCTGGAAATCTGTTTGTGTTTTGCGGCTAGAGAATGACAAACGTGTCATGGGATTAAAACCAATCAACTGTGAATTGTGAAATTGAAATTGCTCTTTCGGTTTTATTTTCTTCAGCATATTGACTATAAAAACCTGAAAGTTATTTAAAATATACACTGCTTATGTTGATGGCTCATTTTGGCTGTGTATTCTCACTTATGTACTGATTTCTGATAAAGGCTTGACGTTATTATAACAGGCATTTTGTGTTCAATTTAATAAAACAGTTTATGAGTCTTGTCTGAAAATTGTTTGATTATGAGTTGGAGATCAGGGGAAAAGGTAGATTGTCAGTGCTGAGGTGTCATTTCGATGCTGATTGTAGATGGCTGTGGGTTCCCATTCATCAGGTTGTACATCTTTTTGCCATGAATGTCTTCAAGTCGTGCAGAGAACCATCAGCTCTTGGGCTTCCCACACTGGCCCTCCCCCCACCACTGGAGTTAGCGCAGGACTGGAGTCAATTCTCCATGCTGCTGATATATTTTAATATACCTTTTCCCTTCACATTCTAAGAACAACTGGCCTTAGCAGGACCATAACCATGGCTTCTGAAGTAAACGCATTGTTTAAAAAACACATATCCATTAACCTTTTGGGTGTTTCACATGTAAAACACTTTTACAAATATAATCAATTTGTATACACGATATATTGTTGAGATGTGGGCTTTTAAGCACTCTGGGGGACTGCATGCAGTATACTTTTGAACTTAAAAACTCATTTTAAAATGCAGTTTATAGTCTGTAAGGTGCTGTTATGCTTGTTTAATTGGGATGCAAGACACATACACTTACTGTCGTGGGAAAAATTCTTGTGTCTGAACGAAAAAATGTTTCTCAATGAAGTGGATAGATCACATTGTGTGTTGTAAAATACTCAAGGAATCAGCACATTTTATTAAATCATCTCTAAGAGATTTTTAATTAAAAGAAAGCATAGGCATAGAAAAGTCTTAAGCCAGTAGAGATTTTCAGCTTTTCTCTAGGCATTTCTGAGGCTTACAGATTGGCCAAGAAACCTATTCAAGATCAGGTGCTGGGCATTATCCTTTAAAATGTCTTGTATGTAAAAAGGCTAACAATGAATTTTCCCAATCTGTAGTAAGTTGGTAAGATTGTAAAGAGATCAGAAACAGATCTTTTGTGACAAGTGTTAAGACTTTCATCATTTGTTTGGAGGCTTTTCCTACCAAGTTTTATTCTTATTTGTGGGGTATTCATCAACTGTTGACAGTTAACTTACAAAAAGATGAAGACAGTTAACTTGTGAAATGTAAATAATAGGTATGTGATTTCGAGTTCTTACCAAAAAATCCCCTAAAAATACATTTTGTGGCTTGTATGTGCTTGTGTGTGTATGTGTGTCTATGATTTTATATATGTATATCTACGTGTATACCCCCCCCAACTCACCTGAGGGATATATATTAGGAGGGAGCTTATCAAAATATGCTCAAGATGATAAAATACTAGTAATAAAGTGTGTCTAAAGGAACAGATGTAATTTTGCCATTGTAAGAGTTATGCTCCACCATAGGCAGTCTATAACTTACGCTTGGCATCTTGGATAAGTCTTTAAGTATGTAATTAGAGCTTTAAATGTGTTCTGGCTAGCAGCTGTCCCTCCGGACAGGAACGAGATGTCTTTCATATTAGCTTCAATTTTTAATCTTTGCCGAGGCTAGAGGCGCTTCTCTAACCCTGTTTTCTAGAAATCCTAAGTGGCTTATGGACTTTGACCAAAGGTATCTGGTGCCACCTCGTGGACTCTCTGAATTTTACATTTAGTTAGAATGTGGTTGGCAGACTCACTTGGAAGCAGGAAGGTGGTTGAAAACCACCTTGTGGAGAATTAGTTTGCATACACAGCAAAGACAGACATTATGTCTTTAAAAGATATCAAAGACTTGTTTTTACAGCTTAAACTGCGAAAGAATGACGGAATAGGAAGAGTGGTGAATTGGGAATCAAGATATTTATGTATGTACAGATATGTATACGTATGTATATGTGAATGCATGATTTTTTGTGAAGCTTTAAAAATGTGTATTTGCTTTAAAAAAATCTGTTATCTATACATTTTCAGGTATGTGAACAACAAACGATATGATTAAGTTAAAATAACGATCATTGAAAGCCTAAAACAGAAAGAAAAGGACTAGAAAACATCTTTCCATCAAAGAAGACTGTTGAACATTTAAAAACAAAATTCTATACAGGGGCTGACATATAAAAACTAAATTAAAAAATTTAAAGTTTTCACAGTTTATTTTGAGAAAATAAAACATAATATTTTCTGT